GCCTTGCCGACTGGTGGATAGGCAGGGGGCCAGCAGGCTGGAAGGACAGGGACTGGCTGCCTAAAAAGATTCTGGGCTGGATACTGACTGGCTAGAGAAGGAAGGTAAAATAGCCTGGATGCCCAGAGTATGGTGTGTGTGTGTGTATCCCTGCTAAGCCACGCAGAGGGAGTGGTATAGTGTGTGCTCAGTGTTATAACAGAGGATCCTGTTTGGGCCACAAACGAATGATGTTTGATTGTGAAGTTCTAGTGTGGCCTCTCCAGTTGTCAATACTGAAGTACATCTGTGTACTTGGTAGTTAGCCCATTACCATCTAATTGTCTGCCTGCCACCTTCTCACCAGCAGATGTAGCTGCTATAGCCGGAAGCCTCCAGAAGCCTGCTCCCACAGCAACTGTTTGACTGATTGTTCCTGTGCCACAAGCAGATGTTCTATATTTTGACTATTGTCCAGGGTATCACGAGTCCTGCTGTCCAGGAGGCATGCCCTGAGTGTGGGAAGGAAAGTCAGGAGTGTGTCCAGTAAAGCCTCGCAAGTGCTAGGCTGGATTACAACTAGGGCCATGCATCTGAGCTTATTGACTCCCTTGACCTAAATGAAGCCATACCGTAGGTTGATGTTTACCTTCCCTGAACATCAAAAGCATGAGGGCTGTGGAACACGCTGTGATATGCTACAGATTGCAGGTCCCTCAGAGATTCTACTATATTATGGTTGGGCAAGACCTATACCTATGGTACCCCCAAGACGATAGTCACCAAGCTAAATTCTTGGTCAAGTTAGTAAATACAAAATAAGAGTATAGATGTGGCAGCAGCCAATATAGTAGCCATTGCCCACATAGTGAACACCCAAAATGTAGATGCTCCAAATGAGACGCCCAAATTTGCTTTCATAACCCCGTACAATTGGTCTCTCAACATGTTGGCTTTAAACACAACAGACTTCTTTGTTGATCCTTTCCCACTGCTTAGGTGATCCACCAGTATCATTTACATTGTAGAAAGCAACAGACCTTGTTTGTCTATGTTAGTACTTCCAAAGTTTTGAGGTGGCTTTTATACTATGCTGATGCACATCCATTGGCCAACAGTCTCCTTCCATCTTACCACTGTCTTGTTGTGGCCTGGCAGTTGTTCCTGAGCTGACCTTGAACTCTAAGCATCTGCACTGTGTTTCTACATTTTAAAGAGTAAACTGAATGGGATAGCCTGTGTTCACTTAGACTTGCTCTGTGATGCCCTGTGACATCCTGCTGGATTTCTGCCTAACATTTTTTGAGTGCCCTGGGGTACTTGAAGTTGAAAATGTCATCCTGGGGTCTCCTTTCTTAATTATGTCTCTTATCTTGATCATGTTTAACAACTAATAGCCTGTTGTTGGATTGCTAGAGTGTAGACTTCATTTACTCAATAATGATCTGCAGAGTAACAACCATGCCCCACAGTCTATGAGGAATGCAACAGAAGTGACTTCTGCCCTTGAGACTCATACTTGCACGGCTTTCTCTCCCATAACAGCCCCTCCTCCCACACACAGAAGACAAAGCATCTTCCTAAAGTTCTGTCTCCATTTTGAGTGTTTTGTTGTTGTTGTTAACCCTCAAAGCTTAGAATCATCTTCAAAGTTTCCTACTCCTTTTGACCAGGCATTAAAAGGAAGGAAGGAAAGAAGGAAAGAAGGAAGGAAGAAGGAAAACTATGTAAGCAACACTAGTGCTTACATAGTTCTTGGTTCTATTTCTCCATGCAGAAATATGTCTTTTCCTGTCCCTAAGTCAGTTCTACTTCTTTGGTCAAAGTGCCTGAGATCCCATGGAGACCCATTATTTTAAAATTCCTTTTCATGTGAAGCCTTTTCAAAGGCTTTTGGAAAAAATAAATAGCTAAGAGGCAAGTGCTGATCTAGAAATGGAGAGAGACCTGGGTTCTAGATTAACCTGACATTGGTTTTCTACTGAAATTTGGGCAAGACTCAGATCAATCCCAATTCCAGTTGCCTCATCCATAAAATGAGACATTATATAACCTTGACAGGCAACATTATATAACTTTTATGATCATCAGATATCACTTAAGAATGCTGTACAAGGTCTAAAACAAAAATATAAGGGCTCATTATTTTGAAAATTCACAACCTTGTCTTTATTCATATACACGATTTTCCCCAAAAGAACTGCAGTTGATAAAGACATGATTCCTCCAACCCACCCCCCCAGGGTAATGTGTGCACAGCACAGACTACTGGACAGAATGCAAATTTATATTAGCAATAGCACTGAACTAAGTGCTAGAGTTTGGGGTCCAGTGTAAGGGTTCAGTGTAGTGTGTAAATTCATGGACGCATGGACAGTGGACTTAATTAGGTCCGGGTGTGACTCCATGTCCATGTTCACTGGACATGTAACCACGGGCAAGTTATTGAGCCTCCTGTGCCTCATCTGCAAGCATGGACACAAATAATATTGGTAACAGATTTATAAGATGTAAATGCCAGATGCGTTATCTATTTCATGAAGAGTACTATTCATTTGTCTAGGCAGAGTCTGGAGGGTTGGAAGCTAGTCCATTCTATTAAATTTTAGAATTATTCATCAAACAGCCAATTTTATAATAAAACTTTGATTACATCTGTGTGTAGTCAGAAAATAGATATATGAGTTTTTTTCTTTCTGTAGTAGATAGAGCTGTGGTCTGGATTAAGGTGGAAGAGAGATACCCTCTCAGTTGCTCTCCCACCCTGGCAAGAATATGGAGTGTAGGGAAGAAAAAAGTCCAGGCTATGAAAGTGTGCCCCATTGGTATCTGTGAGATTCTTGCTTTTTCCTGTGATATTTACTACACCCAGCACATCACCCTATCCTAAGGAGCAGGGGAGGTGGAGGCAGGTGATAAGGAATGCTGCTAAGGCACTGAATCTAACTTTTAATGTGGACCAGACCAAAAGTATGGGATGGATCTTAGTTCTGCCAGCATTCCCTATGGGAGTCTATGCCAAGAGAGCTGGAGATCAGCCAGGGTGCTGAGTGTCACTCTCTGTTCCCTCTCCAGGGGTCCTCCCAGCTGGAGCTATGACCACTGGCTATAACCATCACTTCATTGTCAGACTGGTTTTGCATGAATTTCTGTTTTGTTATGGTTGAGAAAGTGTCTGGCAGTGTGCACGCTGCTAGCTCAGCAGTGGGGCAGAAAGGATGCTCTGGGACATTGAGGCATCTCTACTTCAGAGCTGATCATCCCTCTGAAGAGCCTCTGCTGGTTTTCCTGTTGTTCTTTTCATGAGCATAATGGTAAATCAGCCAAGAGGAGCCTTAATTTTATTTATTTGTTCATTTGAAAAATAAATAGTGGTCAAGTGATCAAATACTAAACATAAAATCAACTAGTATCTAAGTTCAATGAGCTTGGCAGAAATGAGGCATTCTGGTGATACAGTGTGTTAGTTGTCACCAGGTACCCCCTTTTATCATTTAGTTCCTCTGAATAACCCTTTTATTCTCCTTGATCTTCTAAGAGGTAAAAAATTACAGGGTCAAAATTAAAACGACTACATAATGGTGACACTTAGAGTGCAATGTGTTCTTCAGTTTTGTCATTGAATCATGGAGGTTCCCCCAGAGGTGCCTTGGAGAGCTTCATATGAGCAACATAAAAAGTCTTCCAATCTCCCATCTCTCACCTAGCTACATCCTCAGTAGTACTTGTCCCAACTTATATAGATGGAGCCATTCACATGGGGCAGCGGGCCTGCTGATCTGTGCACTTAAATTTCAGATGACTTTAGGGACTTGGGCCAGAGGCCAGATGCACTGTCTACAGCTGGAAAGCCCAAGTCTTTTCTAGGTTTATTCTCAGTGTCAGGGTGGGTGGGTGGGTGGGGCTGTCTCTTCTAGTGGTTTCCACATTGTCTAAACATTTCTAGGAAGGATGTGAGGGTGGCCCAGAGATCATCTAGTCATCTAAATAGTCTTAAAACACTGAGGATTTCTCATTCCTGAGGTACATTTTCCTGTGATTTCTTACGTTAAACCAAGAACAGAACCTCAAAAGCTGTTTCAGGACCATCTCTTTTAAATCTAGAAGTATAAGCTGCTGGTTTCTACTGACCAAAGGAGAATAGAGATGTAAAACTTCTGGGTCTAAGTCCTCAAGATGCTTCTGAAGGAGAGCAATGTGATATCTGGGTAGAAGTTTCCGTGACTAAGCCCACATCCACATATCAAAAATATTTATGCTAACAAATGTTAGCCATTCTTCTTGTTTTTCTTATGTAGGATGATCCTCTGGCCTGAAGCTGTGTCATTACCCAACCCAGAGCCTTCATCCTGATACCAGCACCATCCTTACCTCTAAAGACTGGCACTGCCTCAGTGAACTGATCCAAGGGCATAGAAAACCAGATGAAAAAACAGATTCTTTTCACAGCTCAGATCTGTCATTCCCCTCCCTTCTCTATGAATTTCCATCAGGAGGCCACTATGCGCTTATGTCACTTATGTCTTTGGTTTTGGATGCTAGGCTCTGTAGAGATGGAGCTCTCTGCCTCTCTTGGCTGGTGGGAGTATCTCTAGGCTCAAGTTGGGTTGTGAGCAATACACAATCTAAATTCGTTGTAGTGGGTTGAATAAGATGTCTCCTGTAGTCTCAAACATTTGAATACTTGATCCTCATTTGTTGTGTTTTATGGGAAAGCTTAGGAGGTCCTGCTCTCTTGGAGGAAGTATGTCATGGGAGGTGGGCTTTGAGAGTAAAATACTTTGCCTACTGCTAGTTTGGTGTCTCTGCTTCATGTTTGTAATTCAAGGCATGTCTTCTCGGCTTCCTCCTACTCCTGCCACTGTGCTTCCCTGTCATCACAGATTCTTATCCCTCTGGAACCATAAGCTCAAATAAACTGTTCCTTGTTATATGAGTAGCCTTGGTCATGGTGCTTAATCACAGCAATAGAAAAGTAATTAAAGCATTCGCCTCACCTTTCCTCGTGCTTTTCTCTGCAGATCCGGGTCGATGGGCCCAAGGGCAATGCCCTCCAGTATGAGACTGTGCAGGTGGTGGACCCAGGGCCAGTTCTCCGGGACATGGCCTTTTCTAAGGACCACGAGCAACTCTACATCATGTCAGAAAGGCAGGTAAGGCTGTTGAGCTCTGCTTGACATTTGTCTTGCAACTAACTACTAGCCTGTGGCTCCATAGAAACCTACAGGAGGCCAGCTACAGAGAGGTGATTTGATTTATTTGGCTCAGTGTGTTTCCTTTCAGTTATGCTGCCTGGGGACTGGGGCTGGGTGTTTTGTAACAGGAACAGAACATTTGAAATATGAAAATATCCACGAGTCTAGGACAAACCCACTGGCTTCAAAATGATGACATGGATAGGCTCAAAACCCAACATTTCCTATTTAAAAAAAATTCTTGAAGTGTAGAATCCCAAGTTCTTGGTCAGATTTCCCTATACAAAGGATAACCACCCATCAAAGTCACATTCCTGATCTGAAGAAGTTTTTGTAGTGGTAAAGATTTATTGTAGTAAGAAACCTAGGTAAGTGAGCATCATAGAAAAGCAAGACAGATGAAAGTTTAGAAAATTGTCAGAGTGGTGAAATGAGATGATATGTTGTTTGCTTTGAGCCCTCTTATGTACCTCCAACTTGGTGGAACCTCTAGAAGGTTATATGAAAGCCAATCTATGAACAAATGGGGCACAGGGATGGTGCTGGTTAAAACTGAAGGGCTTAGCAATGTTAGGGTTGCTTCTGGACCTTAGTCAAATGCTAAGTAAGCAGTTTAGGGGTCCCCAGTACAGATCAGACAAGACATCCATTTATAGCAAGCAAAGAAAGTTTCCCCTGGGCAGTTTCATATAATTAAAGGTGTTTCAAAGTCCTCTAACTCACTGCCCAGAGTGTTAATACTCTATAATATACCCCAGAACCCTAAGTGTGGGTATGCATTGCTGTTTCTCTGCCCCCTCATTTCTAGGGTGTCACATTGGAAGCTGTCCATCTAGCTCATGAATATGGATGCCTTGGCACTGAGTGTCAGAGGCAGTGGCCATGAGGGATAGCCCTCTCTCTCATTAGTCTCCGTTAGTGTGCCTGAACTCTCTGGAGGAACTTGCTGACAGACTCTAGATTGTTCTGCTTGTCCAACTCCACAGAGTTAAGGAGATGAATTCCACATTATGCCACCCACGGTACTTGTGCATTATGTCCTGGTAGCCCACAGCTACCCCACCCTCCATAGGAGCTTGATGACATCTTCTCTCAGTGTGGGCCCATGGATCTGCCAACTTCAGCCAATACAGGGGTTTATTGCAGTGCCCTTTGGAGGTCACCATGGCTTGGGAATGCTAAAACATTTTGTTGTGGAGTTGGATACAACTGAAATGGAATGAGCAGCTGGTGGTGAATCTAGCCCCTGTCTGCACTTTTTGCTTTTTCTAATGTGATTCCCCACTCCTCACTCTTTGCCTAACTCTATGGCCATAGCAGATGGGAAGGGAAATGGTTTTCCTTGATGCGATTGAATTATTTAAAGAAAGCCCAAGACTTGAATATGACATTTAACATTTCAATATGTCTTGCCTGGTCTGAAATCCAGAATTTCTATACCTGGAACTTAAAACATGGAAGGACTCTGAAAGTTGTAATAGCTAAATGACTAGTGTAAATGAAAAGTTCTCTCTGATAACACTGAGCATGAGCGGTCCTTGCCCTTTGAAGGGCCCAGCTGAAGTTTCTTGTCTCTTTTTCTCATTCAGCTCCTGTTTCCTCTCATGTGCTCTCCACCTACTAAGGGTTGGTGATGAGGCATACTGGGAACTTGAATATGGCATATTAGACAGGAAATGAAGGCAGGAGTGAGGAGGACAGAAAATCATCCATTTTGGAGTTGCTCTTCACAGAGACCCAAAATCAAAAACAGATGTCCCATTGCCTAGGACAACACTAGTGTTCAGGGGGTTGGTAGATTCAGTGCAGAGCACAGTGGTTAAGGGCACCACAACATCTGAATGTACTAGCTACTATCATCCCTGTGACCACATGCCTGACAGGAACAGATTAAAATAGATTTTATGAATTCATGTATCAAGGGATGTACTCCATCATGACAAAGAAGACTAGAGTGGGTCCATTCATGGCAACTGGAGCTTAGAGTGGCTTGCTCATATTGGAGTATCAAATAAAAAACACAGAACTCAGGCTAGATCTGGGGTTAGATTGTAGTCCTGAAAGACCTGCTCCCAGTTATCTTTGTCTACTAGCTTGGCCCCATGTCCCAAAGAACCTATAACCTCTCAAATCAGTGCCACCATCTGAGAACCAAGTGTTCAAACACACAAGCCTGTGAGGGACATTTTATACTCAAACTGTAACACCAAGAATCCACCCTGACCCTTCTATTCACTAAATGTGGTGTTAAGTAATTTCTGGAGTTCACAAAGGGTCAGCACCTCCTTCTGCTGTCTAACAGCCAGTGCTCCAAACATTAAGCGAGATGACATATCTAACAAGCTGAGTCATGAAATTAAATCCCTGGATTTCAAGCCAGTCCTGTCCTTAACTGACTAGTGACCCTAGACACATCATTTGACTTCCCTGCTCTGATTTGCTTTCTTTGATGGAGTGATAAAACACTATCTCAAAACAACTTTAGGGGGTTAGGGTTCATCTCAGTTTACAGGTTGCAGCCCGCCATTGATGGAAGCCAAGGCAGGAACTGGAGGTATAAGGTGAGGCAGGGACACTAGAGGAAAGCTGCGTAGTTTGCTCTCTCTAGTTTGCTCGGCTTGCTTTCCTAGACATCCCAGGACTGCCTGATGAGGGGTGGCACTGCCCACACTGAGCTGGAGCCTTATACATCAATCATTAACACCCCTCAGAAGTGCCTCATAGACAACCATGGGCCAACCTAATGCAGGCAACTGCTCAGCTGGGTTACCTCTTCCAAGGTGACTCAAGTTTGTGTCCAGTTGGCAAATAACTAGCACATTCCCAGTCTTGGATTTATCATCTGTAACCAAGGGTAACAGTGACGAGACATTTCACTTGAGAGTTTAAATAACTCAAGAGTAACACGTACTAGTCTTCAGGTTATTATTTCTTCTTTGTGTGAGTAAAAACCTAAATATTCCTTAAGGAATGGTTACTTGCATGTCTTTCTCATTTAGAATGTAAGCATCGTGAGAATATAAATGTTGGTATGTTTTGTTATCTTAGTTCATGTATGACTGGGGTGCTCATGTTCATGCATTCACCAACCTCATGGGAAAGCCTGAGAAAGTTTCCCATTGGCCATATGGTGAGAGGTTCAGACAAAAGCATTCATTTTGAATGTATGCAGCATAAGAATAGAAATGTTGATGTTTTATCTTTTTAGTTCACTTACATGTCATAGCCCCCCTGGAACAGTATCTAACACATAAGAATGCAATACATCTTCATTAAATGGGTGAGAAAATGAACAAAGTGAGTTCCATCATCCTCTAGCCTTGAGATTCTTGTTTCAGTTATGTTGCTGTGGCTTGTTATCATCACTAGACATTAAAACTGACCATGAAACACTCCAGTATCTATATTTCCCAACTTCATGAGATGGGCAGAGTTCAATGGCTATCTGAATTCTAGCCTACTTCAGAGTTAAGAACTCATGTCAGAGGGAGCTGGTGGTAGAGAGTGCCAGCCATGTTCCATCACATCTGCTCAGAGATACCTTTCTACTCTTCTTTTGGAGCTTTTGGGATTGCCACAGGACGGCTGTCTAAAGGAACTTTTGGTTCTGATGCTGTGTCTGTTGCAAGAACAAAAAGAAGGCAGCCTGGTGAGCAGTGGAGAAAGAGGAGAGCATCTGGGGGCTGTGAGAAGCCAGATGAGTTCTGCCACCACCAGTGCTTTCTTGTTCCTCTTGGCATAAAACCCAAGTTCTAGACTAGGCTAGCCCTTAGCTCCGTGCTGTGACCCTGCCCAAAATCATTTTGTGATTTTTATCTCCTAATTCCCTTATTCCAGCCTCCATGTATCCCTAAACCTGTGTAATGTCTTCCAGATGAAGGACCTTTGCTATGTCCACATGCCTTGCTGGCATCTATGGCTGCCTCCTTTTTGTGTTGTCTAAAGCCAGCCCCCTATCCAACAGCAGCATTACGGCTCCTTCCTGATGGTCTTATTCCTTCCATTGCCCATTGGCCTGAATATTTCCTGTTAGCTTTTCTTTTTCTTCTCTGTGCCTTGGCATGGGAATGCCCCAGAGAGCAGGGGGATTCCTGTCTCACCTGTGTCTGGAACCTAGGAGAGTGCTTTTCCCAAAGCAATGGCCCCAGAAATTTTCTTAGTTCCTGTGGGGTTGATGCCAGGGAGAGATCCATAGGCCTAGCTGTCTCTGGTAAGGTACAGCACTTCTCTGGAGGTCTGGGGCACTAAAGAAGATTCATATGAGGTATTAGGTGCTGGATTGGGGTAAAACCTAGCAAGTATTGGTTTTGTGAGGTCCTAGGCATCTCCAGGATGTCATTGCTGGGCGTGTGGAATTTTCCACTTGGCCATGTTGTGAGAGGCCAATGCAATCGGTACTGGCCCCTCTTCTAAATGGTACCATCCTTGCTCATTCTCAGACTCCATTTATGATGCTGACTTTGACTACCTCTGTCCCAAATATGATATAGTTTGTTCAACACTAGAGTAAGGGCAACCAGGGAAAGACCCTGCAGCCATTCTGCACATAATAGACCTGTAGACATGGAAGATCCCAGATAGTCTTCTTGCTGCTATTTGAAGCTCTCATCTAGCCTGTCATCATGGGAAGCTCTCAGTGTGAGAAAAAGTAGTGGGATGATGATAGTAAAGAATTCACATGACAACAGAGGTGGAGGATGAAGTGGGTGGTAGCTGTAAGTGTAGGAGACACCTGGGTATCATATGTGTATATGCTATTTCTCGGCTCTGTAACTCCAGCTAAGCTACTACACCCACAGCCCCTTCCTCATTCAATCCTCCGCAACTATTTAACAAGTATTTCCTCAGCACCTATTGTGAGCTAGGCATCCCCCTAGACACAGGGATTCTGTGTGGATCCAGGTACCAAAGTCGTCTTCTTTAGGTAGCATGCTTTCTAGAAAAATAAAAGAATGAGT